ACCGTTTCTTCCTCTCTGCCATGAAAAGCATAGTTTGACATTATTGGTTAGCAGGAATTTTTTCATAACTGAGGAATAGCCAGTATGTATTTAATACAGGGCTAACAGCCCATCAGATGTCTGTCTTGTCTGGTCATCCTACTGGTTTTCCCTGCAGTGACTGTGCTCTGAGATTGTGTCTCCACCTGCTGGATTAATGGCGTCTGTGCTTCACTAAGTGCAGCTCGGCACTCAGTGTTCCCCAAGACACTCAGATGCAAGAGTGAGTAAATGACTGAACCCTTTTTATAACCTGGTGTCTCTGATAACCAACACACTCTCAAAATTCATCTGGAGCAGCTCCTTGGCTCTGCAGTCGGAGGTGTTGGAGTCATTCGATGTGGGTTGAGTGGGATGAGGTCTGCATGATATGGTTAAAACATCTATTGTGATTATTTGGACAGATATTGTGATATGATTCACAATTATTTTCACTAAAAAAACTATTAAAATCATAATGATGTGAAATCTTCAGGGGTCTGTATTAAACAAACATGTTTTCTTATGTCTGAAGTACAAGATTTTTAAGACAGGGCCTCTCTACAGCACTACAGTACTTTATTATAACGATGTTTTGCTACATTTTTATCAAAACCGCTTCTGTGATTTGGATATTGCACTTGGCTAATTAATTGTGCAGCCCTTATTATAATTGTGATTTATTTAAATAATAACCTTTCTCACAGTGGTATGTAGAACCATATTTATTTATTTTTCTTTATTATTGAACAGGAAGTATGTGTTGCTGCAGGTGAACACTGTACCAGCTGACCGAGGTGACCCTTGGAGTGCCAAACTGAGACTTTGTAGGGGATGGAGAGGCTTAGTCAATTAAATCCAGTAGGTTGCAGCCTGACAGAACAGCAGGAAGAGGAGCAGCCACACAGTACACCACACCAAGGGCGAGTCTCACTGTAGTGTTGGAGAAAGGACAAGGATTACACTCAAAGTAACTGGACCCTCAAGAACAACAGGTGACAACAGCCATGGTTTTCATTCATGGAAATTCTGGGTTTTGTTGGATTTTGGTTTGTGGTGCACTTGTCCAACATGTCTAAAGGTTACTTTATACAACAGCTGTTTTGTATGTGTATTGCTCTTCATGTTCTCTGTACCCCTTGTTTGCAGATTGCAAATTAAATGTATTTCATTCATCTATTAGTCCAGCACATATAAGTGGGTCTGCATACAGTTTTTCATCAGCAGCAGTGGCAGCTTCCAGTTACACTGAGACAAGAAATTATGTACTAAAGATTAATATGTGAATGGTAATTTGGGTTTCTATTCTCGAGGGGTGTGTAGGTTGTTTCCTTGAAATGTAGTTTTATCCTTGTCAAGTAATTACTCAGATACATCATGTAGAAAAATAATAATCAACATGTTTAACACATTATCTCTATAGTAAAGTAAGTCATACTGAAAGTGACTGTATAAAATGTTTCAGATTGTAATGTTCAAATGCTTAATGTGTGGTCTGCCACCTGCACTGTGTGCTGTCTGTGTTCAAGTTCAAGGGTGATTTAACCTTTCTCAGTCACATACAAACAGGTTGCTGCACTGCTGTATTGTCTTCAGGTTTGACATTAAACAGCAGTTCTCTGATGATAATTTGGTTCCTTGATCATTCAGGTACCAACCATGTTTTACTTTTGTGTTACTGTCCCCCCCGTGACCTTGCAGGCTAAGCCACCTCATTAACCGCTCGTGTTTACATGCTTTGAGTGCACAGCGCTTTCTCTTGGTAATCCAGTTTCACCAATGAATGGACAGTTAACCAGTGCACTTTCAATGGGACTTTATCTGGAGACATGATTTATTTCAGGACTGGTTCACTGACATCTTGTATCACAGTGTAGTTTATATGCTGAACACCATTGTTAATGTCAAGCCATAATCTTCTGCAGACAACAGTGCTGCATGTATTAGAGTATGTATAATCTGACAGATTCTATAGTAGCTAGATCATACAGAATTAAAATGTCTGTCTGCTGTGATAAAAGTAATGTGTTGTTCTTTAGAGATATCTTATTTGATACGAGGTTAATGTTCAGCTGTAGTTGAGGTGCAGCAGATGGAGGCAGCGTTAAGGGATTACAGTAACTCCTTTAACAGTCTGCAGTCAGTCAGTCAAGTTCGGCATCCGATTATAGTGCTCCGTCCTCCATTTGGGGAGGAGGTTGGAGGGTGGAGGGAGAGGAGAGGAGCTCTGTGCAGCTCCTCAGTCTGGCTCTGAGTCACATGGGCTCTGTGCTAGTGCTGCAGCTGACCGGATACCTGCCTCAACTGTCTGGATTGCATAGTGACTGTGGGAGGTGTTGTGAATGCAGGGGGTACGCAGCTCTGTTAGACCACACCTTAGGTATCCATTCAGTTTGCCATGCTGATTACATGGTGGTATTTATACCTCACAGTTCGGAGCATCGCAGAGAAATGCAAGTATTGCTGCTGTCTTTGTGCCTGGTCGTGTGTTTTTTCAAGGTGAACTCAGCAGAAGGATAATGTGTGGGACAGATCTCAGGCTGTGCTTTCTTTCTGTTCTTGTAATGGGTATCAGAGAAGTCTTCCATTAGTGCTTCTGAGACTAAGACTGTCAGGTTTAATTTATAATCTCTACACTACAGAATATAACTCGCTATGTCCTGAATGCAGTATTTATGAAGTTTGAGCATGCAGCCTGCTTTCTGGATGCAGGACTGTTATCCTCAGTTGTGTCTGTGTGTAATGTTTGTCACTTATATACAGTCAATATGTTTCCTGACCAGATACACTCTTCTCTTCCTCCTTCTCCCCCTTCTTCAATTTTACACTCTTCAGCACTGAAAATGGCCTCAATCCTGCAGAAACTGATCACCCCACTGTTCAGTGGTCCTCCAGAGCCCCCCAGGAATAAAGTGACAGTGGTGGGTGTGGGCCAGGTTGGCATGGCCTGTGCTGTCAGCATCCTGCTCAGGGTAAGAGCTCCACTGGTTTTGCCTTTGCTCAGATTACCCTCTTGCCTTCTGGTGTTACAGGACGGGGTAATACCCGGGTCTAGAATACCTGCTAGACTGACACCAGATTACTGATCCCCTGGTGTCTGATCTGACTGTTATCCCTTCGCTGTCCTTCATGAGGTGTGGTGCCAGTCACAGAAAAATGTATTTGTCACTGAAAGGGAACATTTAAGCAGATTTCTGTCTGTTTTGTAGTAATAGCAGCAAGTGTACCTTATTGATTGACTCCACTAAGTCACAGAGGTAGTAAGAAGTAAATATACATTCATGATGTCATACATCTTTGATTGAGTTTGAAAAATATGTGGGACTGATCCATCCAATCTTATATTTCATTGAGACAATCCTGTTGTAAAATAATAATATTTCAGTCATCCTGCTTAATTTATTCTCTATATATAATAGAAGGTGATCTGTGTAAAAGCGGTGCAAAACACAGACAAAGCAACATATAATGTGGTCTTATGAGTGAACATAGATGCAGAAAACTGCTGTTAAAATGACCAGAATGTGCCAGGTGGAGGCCATAGTACAACAGTGGGTCAGGTATATATATAGTCCCAAAAAACAGCTTGAACCTCTGAGGTTATTTTAACTGCAAAAACAGGTATTTTGCTGAATGAGGGAATTGTGAGAGGAAACAGTGTTGTGTGAACTGGTGTGATGTTCACAGGAGCTGGTTGATGAACTGGCCCT